CCCCGTGGCTGGCTGCTGCCCGGGTGGCTGCCTTCAGTGCTGCAGCGCTGGCCGCGCGCTTCGGGGTCCTTTGGGCAGGGAAGTAGCCTAGGGATCATCAGAAAGAAACGTGGCTGCAGGAAGCCGGGCAGGAACCGCCTAGCCTGGGCTGAAGGCTTCACCCAAACAGCTGCGAGCAACCATCATCCCCCATGTGCTAAGGGCTGAAAAGGTGTTTGGGGGCTGCTGGAGACCGAGACCAGACTCAGGAGCATGAGCGCCGAACCCCGGGAACAGAGCCGCCGTCTGGCCACGCGCCCTTCGGACGGGCACACAGGCAGAATATTGCCCCTCCTTGCCCCGCCCCATGGGCAGTCCTGCCAGATGGAAGGCTGCTCTGCAGCCCCGGAGCAGCCCAAAGCAGCCAGAATGGGGCTGGGAGCTGGGCCTTGGCAGGCCTGGGGGCTTAGAAGTCTAGCGCTGATTGTCATCAAGGGACGGAGAGGCAGGGGCTGCTGGCATGAAGGGACGGGGCGGGGGGGGACACTTGCCAGGGTGACAGAGGGCACTGCGCATGGCACCAGGCGGGGGGGGACACTTGCCAGGGTGACAGAGGGCACTGCGCATGGCACCAGGCGGGGGGGGACACTTGCCAGGGTGACAGAGGGCACTGCGCATGGCACCAGGCGGGGGGGGACACTTGCCAGGGTGACAGAGGGCACTGCGCATGGCACCAGGCGGGGGGGGACACTTGCCAGGGTGACAGAGGGCACTGCGCATGGCACCAGGCGGGGGGGGACACTTGCCAGGGTGACAGAGGGCACTGCGCATGGCACCAGGCGGGGGGGGACACTTGCCAGGGTGACAGAGGGCACTGCGCATGGCACCAGGCGGGGGGGGACACTTGCCAGGGTGACAGAGGGCACTGCGCATGGCACCAGGCGGGGGGGGACACTTGCCAGGGTGACAGAGGGCACTGCGCATGGCACCAGGCGGGGGGGGACACTTGCCAGGGTGACAGAGGGCACTGCGCATGGCACCAGGCGGGGGGGGACACTTGCCAGGGTGACAGAGGGCACTGCGCATGGCACCAGGCGGGGGGGGACACTTGCCAGGGTGACAGAGGGCACTGCGCATGGCACCAGGCGGGGGGGGACACTTGCCAGGGTGACAGAGGGCACTGCGCATGGCACCAGGCGGGGGGGGACACTTGCCAGGGTGACAGAGGGCACTGCGCATGGCACCAGGCGGGGGGGGACACTTGCCAGGGTGACAGAGGGCACTGCGCATGGCACCAGGCGGGGGGGGACACTTGCCAGGGTGACAGAGGGCACTGCGCATGGCACCAGGCGGGGGGGGACACTTGCCAGGGTGACAGAGGGCACTGCGCATGGCACCAGGCGGGGGGGGACACTTGCCAGGGTGACAGAGGGCACTGCGCATGGCACCAGGCGGGGGGGGACACTTGCCAGGGTGACAGAGGGCACTGCGCATGGCACCAGGCGGGGGGGGACACTTGCCAGGGTGACAGAGGGCACTGCGCATGGCACCAGGCGGGGGGGGACACTTGCCAGGGTGACAGAGGGCACTGCGCATGGCACCAGGCGGGGGGGGACACTTGCCAGGGTGACAGAGGGCACTGCGCATGGCACCAGGCGGGGGGGGACACTTGCCAGGGTGACAGAGGGCACTGCGCATGGCACCAGGCGGGGGGGGACACTTGCCAGGGTGACAGAGGGCACTGCGCATGGCACCAGGCGGGGGGGGACACTTGCCAGGGTGACAGAGGGCACTGCGCATGGCACCAGGCGGGGGGGGACACTTGCCAGGGTGACAGAGGGCACTGCGCATGGCACCAGGCGGGGGGGGACACTTGCCAGGGTGACAGAGGGCACTGCGCATGGCACCAGGCGGGGGGGGACACTTGCCAGGGTGACAGAGGGCACTGCGCATGGCACCAGGCGGGGGGGGACACTTGCCAGGGTGACAGAGGGCACTGCGCATGGCACCAGGCGGGGGGGGACACTTGCCAGGGTGACAGAGGGCACTGCGCATGGCACCAGGCGGGGGGGGACACTTGCCAGGGTGACAGAGGGCACTGCGCATGGCACCAGGCGGGGGGGGACACTTGCCAGGGTGACAGAGGGCACTGCGCATGGCACCAGGCGGGGGGGGACACTTGCCAGGGTGACAGAGGGCACTGCGCATGGCACCAGGCGGGGGGGGACACTTGCCAGGGTGACAGAGGGCACTGCGCATGGCACCAGGCGGGGGGGGACACTTGCCAGGGTGACAGAGGGCACTGCGCATGGCACCAGGCGGGGGGGGACACTTGCCAGGGTGACAGAGGGCACTGCGCATGGCACCAGGCGGGGGGGGACACTTGCCAGGGTGACAGAGGGCACTGCGCATGGCACCAGGCGGGGGGGGACACTTGCCAGGGTGACAGAGGGCACTGCGCATGGCACCAGGCGGGGGGGGACACTTGCCAGGGTGACAGAGGGCACTGCGCATGGCACCAGGCGGGGGGGGACACTTGCCAGGGTGACAGAGGGCACTGCGCATGGCACCAGGCGGGGGGGGACACTTGCCAGGGTGACAGAGGGCACTGCGCATGGCACCAGGCGGGGGGGGACACTTGCCAGGGTGACAGAGGGCACTGCGCATGGCACCAGGCGGGGGGGGACACTTGCCAGGGTGACAGAGGGCACTGCGCATGGCACCAGGCGGGGGGGGACACTTGCCAGGGTGACAGAGGGCACTGCGCATGGCACCAGGCGGGGGGGGACACTTGCCAGGGTGACAGAGGGCACTGCGCATGGCACCAGGCGGGGGGGGACACTTGCCAGGGTGACAGAGGGCACTGCGCATGGCACCAGGCGGGGGGGGACACTTGCCAGGGTGACAGAGGGCACTGCGCATGGCACCAGGCGGGGGGGGACACTTGCCAGGGTGACAGAGGGCACTGCGCATGGCACCAGGCGGGGGGGGACACTTGCCAGGGTGACAGAGGGCACTGCGCATGGCACCAGGCGGGGGGGGACACTTGCCAGGGTGACAGAGGGCACTGCGCATGGCACCAGGCGGGGGGGGACACTTGCCAGGGTGACAGAGGGCACTGCGCATGGCACCAGGCGGGGGGGGACACTTGCCAGGGTGACAGAGGGCACTGCGCATGGCACCAGGCGGGGGGGGACACTTGCCAGGGTGACAGAGGGCACTGCGCATGGCACCAGGCGGGGGGGGACACTTGCCAGGGTGACAGAGGGCACTGCGCATGGCACCAGGCGGGGGGGGACACTTGCCAGGGTGACAGAGGGCACTGCGCATGGCACCAGGCGGGGGGGGACACTTGCCAGGGTGACAGAGGGCACTGCGCATGGCACCAGGCGGGGGGGGACACTTGCCAGGGTGACAGAGGGCACTGCGCATGGCACCAGGCGGGGGGGGACACTTGCCAGGGTGACAGAGGGCACTGCGCATGGCACCAGGCGGGGGGGGACACTTGCCAGGGTGACAGAGGGCACTGCGCATGGCACCAGGCGGGGGGGGACACTTGCCAGGGTGACAGAGGGCACTGCGCATGGCACCAGGCGGGGGGGGACACTTGCCAGGGTGACAGAGGGCACTGCGCATGGCACCAGGCGGGGGGGGACACTTGCCAGGGTGACAGAGGGCACTGCGCATGGCACCAGGCGGGGGGGGACACTTGCCAGGGTGACAGAGGGCACTGCGCATGGCACCAGGCGGGGGGGGACACTTGCCAGGGTGACAGAGGGCACTGCGCATGGCACCAGGCGGGGGGGGACACTTGCCAGGGTGACAGAGGGCACTGCGCATGGCACCAGGCGGGGGGGGACACTTGCCAGGGTGACAGAGGGCACTGCGCATGGCACCAGGCGGGGGGGGACACTTGCCAGGGTGACAGAGGGCACTGCGCATGGCACCAGGCGGGGGGGGACACTTGCCAGGGTGACAGAGGGCACTGCGCATGGCACCAGGCGGGGGGGGACACTTGCCAGGGTGACAGAGGGCACTGCGCATGGCACCAGGCGGGGGGGGACACTTGCCAGGGTGACAGAGGGCACTGCGCATGGCACCAGGCGGGGGGGGACACTTGCCAGGGTGACAGAGGGCACTGCGCATGGCACCAGGCGGGGGGGGACACCAGCATGCTGTGCCTGGCTCCTTCCTGCGCCCGGCCCAGGGGGCCTCAAACCGCCCCGGGGCTGCGGCAGGAGAGACGAAGTGCCCCTGATCTTTGGAGCAGAGGGGGAAGGCTGCTTGTGCCTTCGCCATTTAACCCTTCTAGTCAGACCCTCAGGGCCTGGCCAGGCAGGGCTGGCGCGCTCTGGCCCCTGGGGCCCTGGAGCCAGCCAAGGGAGGGGAGACTCTGGTGTGTGGTGGGTCCCAGATCCTGCTGGTCGCAGTGACTCAAGGGGCTCATGTTGCCCCAGGGCTGGCAGGGGCAGAGGCAGACGGGGTGGGTGGCAGCGAATTGCTCCTGCCTCTGCCAGAGGGTGGGGAACTGTCCTGTCCCTGCAGCACAGCAGGAGGGGAGCAGCCCTCCCAGGCTAGGCTGCCGGGTAGCTGGGTCCGGGCTCCAGCACCCGTGTCCCACCTGGGAACCCTGGAGAGACTCTTCCCCTGCTGCCGTCCGGACTCGGGCCACGCTGCACCCGGCAAGCTTAGCGCCCTGGGCTGCTGCCAAGCGACCACTCCCCCCACCCCTCTCTCCTGCAGGCGCCCAGTGCCCCGCTCAGCTCCAGGGACAGCGGCGGGGCTCTCGGCCCCAGGCTCCTGCGAATAGCCGCGAGGGACATGTCCTGCCGCGGGCTGGTTCTCCTGGCCTGCATGCAGGTAAGGGCGCGCACCTGCCACCTCATCAGTGCGGAGGGGGCCCCAAACCCAGGATCCAGGGCCCCTCTTCCAGCCCGTCCCACGTAACCGTTTAGCAATGGGGGAACCGTTTCCCGAGGGTCGCGGTAAACTCCAAAGGGAACGAGGGCGGGGCTGTTCCATGGCCGCCTGAGCTGCGCAGCCCGGACAAGACGGGCACAGCCCGTCCCTGCTGGCCCGGGCGCCGGTGACGCTGCCCTCGCTCACTGCTCTGCTCTGGAAGGTGCTTCGCCTCCGCCCCGCTCAAACAGCCCTCGCCCGGCTCCCAGCCAGTGAACCCCGGGGAGCTCCGGGCCCAGCCGGGGAGCGTGACCTGGCTGCCCCGCAGACAAGGGCAGGGCAGTGGGTGAAGGCCGGGCTGCCTGAGGCGCTAACCTGGGCTCTGTCCTCCCAGCACTGTGGCGCCAAGGTCCTGGAGAAGACGTTCGAGGCGTGGCTGAGGTAC